TTTTTTTTTTTTTTGTTGCATATTATAAAAATAAAATATCACATAGGAGTGGGTTGGGTTCGGTAACCAAACCGATATGGGATTATCGAAACCGAACCGAAAGTTTCGGTAACTACTGAAATGTAAAACCGAAACCGAACCGAATTAAAAAATTGCAAAGATGCCTTCTCTAAGACAACATCATAAAAACAATTAACTACATATAATCATCTAAAATAACATCTCTCAAGTACCAAAAAAAACCTGCAAACTAACCAAATAATTTCCCAATTTCACCAGCAATCTCTGCAAGAGCACTCACCATTAGCAAACCTGTGAAAACCAGAACCATCCCTAAAGTGTATCTCCCTCTTCGTAACGATTGACACGTATTTTAAGAACGTGTGGCAATCCCCACAGAGATGAACATTCTTGAAAACCTTCGCGGGCTTTCCGGGCCGAGCCATCAAAACTCCATATGCAGCCGCCAATTTCCCACTGTGGTACAGCAAGAAATTCACCTTCTGATGCTCCTCCACATCGTGCAGCACAAATCTCGTGTCGGGCAAATATCCTGCTTTCGAGCATTCCGAAAATAGAATATCCAGCGCGCTGTAAATGTCCTTTGACTGCACGTGAGAATTGTCCCGGGCGAAAAACGAGTGAACTTTGTTATCATGCACGACCCAGCTTCGGGCTGGAAACTTCCGGAACCTTCTCTCTTTCATCTTTTCACGTACGAGTTCAGAACAGTGCCACCTTCCGGAAGCTGAATAGAGATTAGATTTTAGCACATAGGTCGTAGTGTCTTGTGGCTCCATTTCTAAAATATTCTTGGCGGCCCTTTTCCCTATTGTGACGTTTTCGTGTACTCTACAGCTATCGAGCAGGGCCCTCCAGACAGAAGCCTCGGGTTCGAACGGCATTTTCTCGATTACCTCCTCAGCTTCTTCTAAAAACCCCCAGTGGCCTAAAACACCGACGAAACAGGCGTAATGGTCCGAATTGGGTTTGATTTGATAAATGGATTTGATCGAGAAAAAGAAGTCCCGGCACTGGTCAACTAAACTCGAGCTCGTGTGCTGGTAAGCTGAAATGATCAAGACACACGTGACTTTGTCCGGCTGTATTTTCATTCTCTGCATCTTTTCCCAAATGTGTAAAGCCTTTTCTCCCTGTCGATTAACGATATATCCATTCAAAACACTGTTCCAAGACACAATATCGAGTTTGGACATTTTATCGAACGCCTTAATTGCTTTTTCCATGTCACCACACTTGGAGTACATGCTAATGATTGAATTTCCAAAACCAATTTCAGACGAGAGCCCGTATTTCAAAGCCCCGGCATGAAACTGTTCACCGAGTTTCATAAACCCTAAATCTCCACACACGCTGAAGACTGAAGTTAGTGCAACTTCATCGAGAAGGACCAGAAGAACACTGGCTTCTTCTTCATACAGCCACTTGTTGATTAAAGAAAGCGCCTTTTCAGGATTCGAGTTCCGAGCATACCCACTAATCATAGTCGTCAGCATAATCGAGCTTCTTCTTCTCTGTTCTAATGGCAACCGATCAAACATCTTCTCAGCATCACTCATTCTCCCACACTTGGTGCACATGTCGAGCAATGCCGCTTGGATGTACTCGTTCGTGCCGAAATCAATCTTGTGAACAAAAGCTTGAACTTGTTCGCTCGATTTCAAATCCCTTATCAGCGCACAAGCGTTCAAACCTCCCGTCAAAGTGAAGTCATCTATCTCCATGCCTGACCCCACCATTTCTTGGAAAAATCTCAATGCGCTCGATCCATGGCCATTTTGGCAAAATCCAGAAAGTACGGCATTGTAGGTGATGTAATTCCTCTTGGGCATTTTAGTAAATACCTCCAGAGCCAAATCGACCAGCCCGAATCCCATGTGCGCATTAATCATTTGGGTCCAAGTGGAAATATCCCGAACGGGCATGCGGTCAAATAGAGTCCCGACATCTTCTGCACATCCGCACTTTGCATAAAACTCGAAAAGTGCATTTCTCACACTCAAATTGTTCTCGTACCCGATTTTATGGGCGTAAGCATGAACTGCCGTGCCTTCAAGTTTTGCAAATCGCATTGTGCAAGCAACCAAGACACTCGAAAGCGTAAAATAATCCGCCTTGAATCCTTCCATTATCATACTCTGAAACATTTGGAATGCCCTATCATACATACCATCCTTAACCAGACACGAAATCACGGTATTCCAAGAGACACTGTCCCTTTGGGGCATATTAACAAACAGTTTGACTACACGATCAAAACAACCACATTTACCATACAAAGCCATCAGGGAATTCGCCACATAACTGCAGTTCAAGTGGCCGGTTTGGATAGACAAAGCGTGGACTTGGGAGCCCAACTCAAGATCAAGCAAGCGCATACAGGCAGTCAACAGGGCCACAAAAGCGTAGGCATTGGGCTCGATCCCTGAGCCCCTCATCTCGAAGAAGAGGCCCACGGCTTCACCCTCTCGGCTCGATTTCGCCAAACAAGAAATCATAGCAGTAAAAGACACAATATCAGGGGCTAACAAACAATTAAACACTCTCTCGGCGTAATTCAAGTTGCCCAGCTCGATATAAGACGAGATGAGGGAGTTGAACAAGCGTAAGTCCTGTAGTACCTTGAGAATTGAAGCGTGTACCGCTTTACCGAGCTGTGCGTCCCTGTACTCGATGGATAGCTTGAGCAGGCGCGAGAGCTCATGATTGGAAAGGCGTTTAGGGTTTATGGGATGGTCTGCGGTGAAATTGTGCTGAAAAGATGGGATTTTGGTGGCGGGAAATGAAGGGAAGAGCTGGGTTTTGGAGGAAGAGAGAGAAAGGGAGGTTTTGGAGGGGAAGAGAGAGGAGGTGACTTGCGAATGAGCAAAGGGTTTCGAGTGAGGGACTGTGGAGTTGGCGGAGAGGGTAAGAGCGGCGGAGCCGGCAGCGGGGTGGAGGCAGTTGTGGTGGATAAGGGCCGCCATTAAAACGAGCGGCAAGCATACTGATAATTTTGGCCAAACGAACTTGAAAAAAACGCTATTATCCGGAATGTAAATAGCCTTTTTTTTTTTACTTGTTAAAATAAAAAAGAAATAAACCTCGAGTTCTGGTCGGTGGTAAGACGCTTCACACATACGTGCCTATCCTCATAGGTTATGGATTCAAGTCACTAAGATCTTCTTCTTCAAAAATTCTCAATTTTGATTTTTATGCAATTAAAACACCCGACATAGATGAAACCGTAACGGGACCATAGTATTTTCCTAGAATTTATACATGTGGACAACTCAATATTTGATTAGACACTTGAGGGTCTCCGAATGGACCTGTTATATGCAAGACGACATGTGGCGGAACACATGTTCAAGTACCATACTTTCATCTTAATTCACAACCCAAACAAGTCACATTTAGCTAAGACTACATTCAAATTCCAGCTTCACAAACCTACAATAAAGTATAGAATATTTGTAGAATCAGTAAACAAATAAAACCATATTACTTGAGAACACAAAATTAATGCACTCTCACACAAATATAGCTTAAGTAAACAAATACAACCAAATCACTTTAGAAACACAAACTTCACCTCACAACACAGTTGTTATAAAATTATATAGCACTGCCCAAACTCATTCCTCAACCTTAAAATTCATACATTTATTTATAATCACTTGTCCTTTTCAACTCACTAAGATATGAGATCAAACCCCTGCTCAAGCAGACTTTGTGCCAATTTCTCATTAGCAGATTCCGAAGGGTGAAAACCGTCCCAAAAAACGTACTCTGTCGCGTTCGAACACGTTCCCACCGATCTTTCATTGCACAAATACGATGTCTCGATTGTGCCCGTCCCACAGCAAGCCCTCCTCGACTCGAAAAATCCTGCCAAAAACCAAATCAAACGATCGATATATCATCAAAACTAATATAAACCCCACTCATTAAAAATACAATCTTTTTTTCTTCAAATGTTTTTACCGTTATCACTAGGCTTCAAGATCAAATCCAAGAGAGGATGGTATATATCGAAAACCACAAGTTTAAGTCCTGTATGATTAGTCTTCAAAATCTGAGAAGTCGTATTCAGTTTGTTGTTAAAAGAAACAGCGTCTCGGTTGAGTCGAGCCACACACTGATTACTTCCGGAACCGAACAATGTGATGGCAGCCGGCAAGCAACCAGTCGGTGGCAGAGTAGTGACACCAATTCTTCTAACTCCAAGATTGTATAGATTCTATCCAAAAAAAAAAAGAACGTTAAATGTCGAAAAATGTAAAACTCGAATGCTTTTTTACTCGATAAGGGGTGTGAACAACCTGAATCAAAGAAGAGTAATATATCATGAGGATGTCTGAAAATTGGTCCGGATTGTAAGCTAGGTTGAGAATAGGATTGATGTAATAATTCTGGATAAAATCGCTACTCCCGGCACTTATAAGATGGATTCCTGATGAGAATATGGTGTTAGCTTTAGCCCTTCCCACCAAATTCACCACTTTGTTTTGCCAGTCTTTGTAGTATCTTAGCTGCTGTGGCAATGACAGAGCCCTCTGTAGTAATAATAACATCAACACAAGAAAATTTCAAACTTTGGTTGTAATAAGATAATAATGTCTAGTGTTTTTTTAACTCTTTTCTTTGAGTTACATAGAAGTTATGAGAGGAAAAAAAATGACTGACATATAATTGTGGCGTGCTGTCGTGATATCCGGAAGCAGCCGAAGCGAAGTTAGCTCCGGTGAGAATATTTCTTCCTTTGGCGTCTCCGGTGAGGTACGCCGGCGGGTATGAGTCGAACCCCAGATACTCGGCTGCATGCGATAACAAATAATTATAATTCATAAACAGTTTTAGCATTTGTTTTGGAGATTCCAAATTCTCGGCTGCATGTGATAACAAATTATAATTCATAACTCATAATTCATAAGCACTTTTAGCATTTGTTTTGGAGATTCTAAATTTGGGCTCCGGAAAGTTTCTATTTTTGGAAAGAAAATTAAAGATAAAAAGCTTTGTCTCTTGGGGTTCTTGGCTGTCTTAATTCTTAACAACTTTTCTAATTTTACAACATAATATGAACAAAATTGCATTTTTCAGTCATGTTAATTTAACGCCACAATAATTTTAATCTCAAAGTTTCAACATTTCACCTTTTGATCATGTATTTTAATATTTTGGTGCAATTCAGTCATTTGAGGACTGAAATTACAACCAAATTGTCAAATTCTCAAATTTTCATTAGTAATTTACGTCTTATAATTTAAAATTTTGTTGCAATTTCAGTCATGAAATTTAAAAACTTGTTGCAATTTTAGTCCTCAAATAACCGAAAACATGAAAATATTAAATTACAAGATTAAAAGGCAAAAAAAAGTTAGATTCTTGGGACAAAATTTGCATTTTTGCCACATAATATGACATCATATAAACTATTGATGAAAAAAGCTATGCAAAAAAGTTTTTCGAAAACTATACCGGTGAAATCGGTGGCGAGCTTGCCGTTGCAGAACCTTCCGGTGGGTTTGTGGGTGATGAAGTCTCTTCCATAAGGTGGAAAATTTGCTTTGATGAGCGTTTGTAGGCCGTTGTTATTTCCCACATCGACCACAGAATCGCCGAAAATGCAAAGGGCGGGAACTAAAGGGTCTCCATTAGCAACAAGTGATGAGAAAACAGAGGACATAACAAGAACTAATGCACCAATTATGCATTTTGAGATTTTCATCATTTTTTTATTTTATTTTTTTTTTTTTATTTTTTTTTGTGTGAAGCCTTTCAAGTTTTTGTTCTTTCAAAGTGTTTTGGGTTTTGGTGTAGTGAAGGAAAATTGAAGGAGATGGGGAATGAATTTATGGAGGGGGCAGTGGTCAGAGAAAGTCAATGAAAAATGGTGAATTATGATTTGTGCATGGAAATCAACAGGTGGTTGTTGTAAAAAAAATGGAAATAAATTTGTCATTATGTAAATGTATAAATGTTAACAACTCAATGTTTAAAAACCCGAACCGTGATTGGCTCGAGCGACGAATTGCTGAATTGAGTAATTAATTTTTAAAAAATAAATATATATTTATATCTCAAAATCTTATTAATAATAGTGTATATGTCATAATCATATACCACATATATATGTATAATACTATTTTTTTAAAAATAAATAAGAATGAAATAAACATTGTTAATAGTTGGGTCAAATCAAGTTGACCTAGCCGAGTCGATACTTGTTTGACCGGGTCAAAACCCAATCGATTGGTTTTAACTGGGTCCTTTTTTACCAAAGAATTCACTTGGGCTTATTCTGGCCTCGAGTTCACCCGACAGATCGATCAATGTAAAAATTTATATATTGATTTACCAATTTAAGTAAACGAAATATCAAGTGGAATAGAAGTTAGTTGTTACAATATGCATGAAACTCGAGTCCAAAAAAAAAACTTTTTTTCAGTTGAATGTTTACTTATTATTCTGTTTTGGGGCTAAAGCAGCTTTTGTAGTAATGGTGAAGCAAACAAAATTTGCGTGACTCGAAGCATTTTTCTTAAGTATGATTTGGGCTTTCCTCGTTCTCATTTCTTTTCTTCTCCTACAATAAGAGGGGAAAAAAAAACAACATATTCATGCTTTAGTTGCTTCTTTGAAATGATAATCAGTATAGCAAAAAAAATACTAAAAGTCATAAGATTTTGCATAAAATTTCGGAGGCAGCATAATTATTAGGCAGGTCGACTTATCGTATACTCAATGAACAAAAACATATGAATCTATATCTATATATATATTAAAAGTCAACCTATTTACCAAAAACAGTAGCAAGAAAAGTCAACACACATTTAATGCATATTTTTTTTGGAAATTTTTTACTATATGCATTAAATGCTTGCAAATTTACATTTACTATCCAAATATGATTTTTAAGATTTTTTCCTTAAATAATTTATGCAATGATTTTACTGATATCCATTATAATTAATATTTGTCGAGTAATATTTTTTAACCTTTATTTAATTATATAACACTAATATTTTTTAAAAAAAATTAATATTATTTATTATTTAAAAGATAATGATTACACAATTAAATGATTTTATTAATGGTTAGATAATAAAATTATAGTTATTCTTTAAAATTTCGACATGTTATTTATTTGTATATTATTGTCAACTATGATAGCGTTTTTATCACTTTTTTTTTGTTATTTTTCAAAAATGAACTTATTGTAAAAATATTTTTCTATTGCATAGTATGTTAAATAAACTATAAAGCCTTAGGATGAAAATTAAAAAAAAAAATCTCTTGATTATGTAAGGGATTTATTTTTTGGCAATT